TAGGAAAGCCAATACCATGTCAGCAGTGACTGTTCATGACAGAATGCAGAGGAGGGTATGCAGTGCGATGAAAGACCACATACAGCAGAAAGGAAGACGTAGGAGAAAGGCACACAAGTGGTACTTGGGGACTGAATCATGCAAGCTGAAGAGAACTGAAACAGAAAAGTATATGAAAGGCAAGTTTAGTCTTAGAGGGCTTTTATTTTTTTTAAACACAATGTGTGCCAAATTCTTCCCTCAATTATACCACGATAACTCAATTGAGAAAGGAACATCGCCCTTTGCCATTATGAAGGAAATTAATGTATTTGGCCCTTTCAGTGGCCAAACTCATTAACTACTCTCCTACTGGTATAGGCCCTATTCTTTGGGTATCTCTACCCTGATCAGTGAAGTACAGTGCAAGCCCTGGGTAACTTGAATGAGTTAGCAATGTAAACTGGCCTACACAGTGCTCTATGCTAACAGACTTAGGTTACTTCGGGCACATCTACACGAGATGCTTTACTGTGCAGTAGACTAATCTATTGTGCAGTAAAATGTCAGCATCCAAATGTGTGGGGCATTTACTGCACAGTAAATTAGGCTCTTACACAGTGAGCAAGTACCTGTAAACACAGGTATAGATTAACTATGCAGTAGTTAGTGCACAGTAACACTCTTATAGATGCTGATCAGAAGCAAATTTGCTCCCAGTCAACCTCAGCAGCAGGGGACCACGGGGGACAGAGAGCTCTCTGTCCCTGGTCCTGGCGCTTCTCATCTTCCAGCTCCCCGCAGGAGCTCGGAGCCAATCAGCACTGGGACTGGGGAACTTTCTGCCTCCTGTTCTGGCTCCCAGCATGGAGCTGACAGCTCCAGAGGGTAAGCAGGGATTGAGAACCCAGCCCCCACCCCTCAAAGCAGCTCTGCATACTGTGGAGCTACCTGCTCCCGGGCAAGCGGGAGCTGGGAATCCAGCCACACCCAGGACAGCTCCCAGTGAACCCCTCGCTGGGTAGGGAAGCCCTGCCTATCAGGGGGCTTGCTGACAGCTGTGTGTCCAGATGGGCACAGGGCCAGGAGACCTGCCCACTGCAGAAGCAGCTGTCTCCCAGCCTAGTGCACATCAGGTCCCCTCCCAATGTGCACAGGGTCAGGAGGCACTGCCAGCCCCTTGGCTAGCACCTGGGGAGCCTGGAGCTCTCCCTGGCTGGTGCAGGAGGACAAAGCGGGGCAAGAGCAGCCCTCTGCTTCCAACCGGGAGCATGTGTAGACGTGCTGCCTGGAAAGGCCTACTGCACCATAAGCCTAATGCAAATTAATAGCACGTGTAGACACAGTCTTCTAGTAGCAAAGTGTGTTTGCCTGGAGCTATTCACAGTCTTCTACGTTCTACCTTTGTTAAATTCAGTCCAGGTCTTTAAGTCAAAAAGCCCTGCACATACCATTTATTTTGAATATGTAGCACCGTGAAAGCAGGTACCAGAAAAACAAAAAGAGTTTGCAGGGCACAAGTACTTCTAAAAAAAAATCTTGCTGATCTCTGTGGTTAATGCTATATAATATAATCACCTCCTCAAGAAAGGATGACTGAAATAAATCCCAGAGAAGGGAAAAAAAGGTAAAGATTAAAATCCTGAATATGGCCTCACTTATAAGCATACAATCCTTTAAAGTCAAGGAGTCAGCTTCATAGTTGGTGGGTGCAATTCCACAAGTGTATTCGGTTCACTGGGACTATCCTGGTATATAGGAGGACAACCTGACCTCTGAACAAGTTATATCTATGCTGTTGCTTGAAAAGAGATGGGAGCTCTGAGGCAGCCAGTTTCTTGGTATAGCTACAACCCTGCTGGCTCAAGGAGTTTTTCTGCTACCAGAGCTATCCCAACACCTCTGCGTTTGCTGGCACAGCTACGTCAGCTGTGGATGTGATCTTTTCATAGCAAAGAAACCGTATTGCGTAGACAAAGCCTCAATCTGTTAGCATTTACAGTTACCCTTTAGTCTTCATTGTTACATGAAAAAGAAAATCAGTAAACACTGAATTTAACACACACAAATGCACACAGTACTAAAAACAAGTTATGAAAGAACATGGTTTGTATTTCACAATAAAATTATTTTTAACAATAAGAAAAACTACACAGAAAAGTGACACATTTTAGTAAAGAAACCACACACTAAGAACAGCCTAATTTAGAACTGCATAACTACTCTCCAGCATTCAACCCCCTTGCACTGTGGGTGTGCATGTAAGTTTGAAAGAGGTCCTTATAATTTATTAAATCAATGATTAAGACAGTAAAATTACTCTTTTGATGTTGAAAAGAGGACCATCAAGAGTCAGAGTTTGCTTAAAAGTTCATTTATTTATGTTGCAAGCTGAAGAATCATAATCAACATAGAAAAGCATTGTTATGCCTCCTTGGGAGCTATACATAATTGGTGCACTTATCAAATAAAAATATAGAAGCAATTTAAATGATACAGAAATGACACAGAAATAGATCATAGCTCTTCTCACACGCTCATTCTGGCATGCACACACATCACACTAAAAGTTTCCAGTTTCTATCTGTAAAGAATAGAAAGGATAGTACAGCTATCTAGCTCACTTAACCACGTGCAGCCAGATAGCCTCAACAAGCCCTCATAAAATGATACAACCTACTACACTTGATCTTAGCCAAAAGGTTGAATGCTTCCCTTGCTGAACAATGTGCATTTGTATTCTGACACTTCCTTATGGCTTAAATAGGACTGAATGGAAGTGCTCAGCAGCTCTCAGTATTAGGCCCTTGTCTAACTTTAGTGAGTTCAAGTATAGAATAACCAGTTTAAAACATGGATATTTGGCCCTGACCCTTCAAAGACTCACATACACACTTAATGTTACACACTGCGGTGAACCTACTGATTGTAATGGCCCATTCATCTATGTAAGGTTAAGCACATGAGTCACTGTGCAGGATCTGGGTCAGTATTTAAACAAGGGCACAGTTCTTTAGAGTGGTCCACACTGCCTGGTTCTGACTCCAAAGGGCGAATTTGTATAACCAACATGGTCAATGTGTTAAAAGATTAATTTATATTCATTGACAAAAAAAAATGTCCATTTATTCTTACAGACATACCTTATTTATTCACATATCACACTCACCATTTACCCAAAAATTAGCAGTCAAAATGAAGAACCTGATTCTGAACAGTTTAAAGAAAAAAAAAAGTCTTAATTTTGTCTTCCCAAAACATGGAGTATGTCTTATGGCGGGGGTGGGGGGGGCAGGGCAGGGCAGGGCAGGACTTCAATAAATATGAGAATACATTGTTATTTTTCATGTTATTTTTCAGTCTGGTATATGAACAATAGTGTTCAGGTTCCATTATTTTAGTAATTACCAATGCAGTAATGTAATACATAAGAAGAGGGAAAAAAGATATAAATCCTATATAAGTATTTACATATTTCCATGATTAAAATAAATGAAAGTTAATTTACAGGTAATAAGAAATGATTATTAAGTATAGATTGTTTCTAAATAAGCTTAATATTATAACCAACTACTGTTAAACAAGACATAATATATTTTTGGATGCAGTAATAACACATACATTAATTATTCTTATTGGACAATGAAATAGTTTAGATAATTGTTTTTAAAAAGACTTTGGAGTTTTCAAATTACAGCTCAGTTAAAACATTTTTTTCCAGAACAAAAGCACAATACAACACTTCCCACACTTTTTTCCCTGTATTTTACATCACACTGACAGATATTTTCATGTTAAAAAAGCATACTTCATATAGGTTTCTTAGTTGTCAATAATGTAATATTGTTCATTATAAAAAATATAGCACCTACTGTAAACATATCAAACACAGTTTAAATCCCCCATAATTTCCTAAGTAATAATGCCTTTATTTTATGAAGACCTCCAGTCTTGTTTAATTCCTTCATTATAATCTACCCACAGTTTCAGGTTCTATTAAATCTTAATGCATAGAGTCATAACCTACTAAATTCTGAGAGTTAGGAATTATAAATATTATATGCCAAATGACTTGACCTTCTAAAATGCAGTTATAAGTTCCTGGGTAAGGAGGGTTTTGCTGTGCAAACTTTTGTGGCTTGTAGGTACTAAAGAGATGAGCAATTTTAAAAAAATGCCCAGAACACCTAATCTTAATTTAACCTGACCAATCAACTGTCATTCTTATCCTGTTTTAAGAAATAAAAATGATCTAATAGTCAAGCTCTCAATTTAGCCAACACCAAATGTTTAAGTCCTAATCAGACCCCAAGAAATCATGAGATAATTTTGAAGTCATGAAACTTTAAAAATACATTGCAGATTCCTTTTGTTTGCCTTCTGTCTGAAAACTTAGAGTGCATCTGAATGAACTTTGCAAGTTTTTCTCCATAACCGTAACAGCTTGAACTTTAAAGGGCAACTGAAATTCTAACAAAAAAAAGAGAAACACCAAATAGTGCAAGACTTGGTAAAATCATGAGAGATGGTAACACTGTCCCACTTCGGTTTAAATGGTTTTCTGGTCCCTGCATAAGAGGTATTTCTGGGCTTTGGATCAGGATAACTGCAAGAAAACCTCAGCCCATTTCTGGTCAATTCTGAACTCTTACAGAGCAAAGAGTATATGTTAACATGAAAAACAAGTGCAAACTGTTGTAGGTTTATTAGGCCTTAGCAAACAAGAGTGCAAAACAGCAACTATCTGTTGAAATTCTTTAGACCAAGCAAAGACCTGGGATGAAACCACTGTCTTCAAGAGGCCCAACACTTTCTACTTGTTGTTCTGGGCTTCTACAACTGATCCTACTCCACTTGGATGCTTTCCTAGTGACGCTGTCCAATGTGCAATATGTCACCAGTGCATTCACACTCCATAGATTCAAAAACTGTTCCTGGGTAGGCACTTGCTGTTATGTACAACCAATCTGTTTGGCAAACTTAACTGCCAATAAGCATCATGTTTTCCTTTTCCTCACTAGCCAGGTGTTGTCTCAACAGTCTTATCACGTGGTGGGAGGCAACAAGCCTGATGTCGCGGGAGGAGAGGGGTCACCTATGCTGCCAGCTAAAAGGATTTTCTGTTGGCATGTCTTCCCTTATAAAACTGTGCATCATCATGAGTGATAAGAGTGGTCGTGCCAATGCTGCAGTCTGTTTGAACTGCTGTACTCTAAGAAACAGCTCATGCCCATACCACTTATCAGCCATGTATGATAATTATAAGGGTCTAGAAAACCATTGGCATGACATATATTTTATATGCAATCTATAGTGATTTTCTCTTTCATTTCAGAAAAGCTTTCCTGGGCTCTTCACATACTAGATACAAAGCAAATAGCTTCAGGTGACCATAGAACATTTTTGCTGCACGTGACTCCCAAGGCTTTCATTTAGGAAATGTCTTCCAAGCTGGTTGTTGCACTGTGTTCCCTTAAAGGTTTATTAGTTTCTTGTTCCCAAAACATCTCCCGAGCACCTTTTGACTACTGCAAGTTTCAGTAAGGTCCTGTATGTGCAATACTGTCTGCAACCTCCAGTCTGTAACTAATTACAACATGAATATGCTTTTGACATCTAATCTAAATTAAATATTTTAAATAAAATAAACAAAACTGTCTTGTATCCCATTTTACTTTAAGGCTATTAGTCAGAATCCTGGCACAGACACTGAACTTCCAGGAATGAAAGTGCCAAGCAAAAGATATATCTTTATGTCCCAGAAGAGGAGGATTTTTGGCATAACAGAAAGGCAGTCAGAGGCAGCAGTCTCAGTAAGGTAGACTGGAAAGGGAGCTCTCAATGGAACAGAATTATTCCTGTGCAGTAAACAGCAATAGAAAGGGGTTTGAAGAAAGCAGATCAATTGTACCTGTTTTCATATAGTTCATTCAGTGTTCTTTGACTGCTTTTAAAGTGATTAATGGGCAGGAGAGGTCATGCATTTCTTCCTTAAGACTGATAAAAAAGGCCAAAACCCACACAAATGGGAATAACACTCACTTTTATCAAGTAACTTAACACCAATTCCAGGCACTGTATCTACCTCTAAATTCCTCTTCCTGTTTACTGCATGTTTTCTTACTTGCTTTAACAGCTGTCACCTCTCTTCCCGCGTGAAAGGCCCTCACAAACAAGACAGGGAAACAGTGGCACTGCCTAGATGGAAAATGCTGTAAATGCAGAGAGTAAACACCTGGAGACACGTCTTTACTCCCAGTCTCTTTCACCTCAGGTGCCTCCTGCAGCAAGAGTAGGTAAACACCTTCAAACAGAAATACAGTTTTTAAGTAGATGTTTTCCTGTTACTGCAGTCACTTTTAACTAAGCCTGTCATAATGGCCTGAGAGCTTGTCACTGAACATGTTCATGACACCAGAGAATGTGTGTTCCTATCTCTTTTAAGTTTTATATCTTCTGAGTGGCAAATACCTTGAAGTGACACCATCAAAAGAAATCTAGCCCAATATTACAATGTTGAGGGAAGAAAAGTGATACAATCTGAAATGAATAAAGATGCTCCCAGATTGAAAGAGATCTGCAGTGAAAATGGCTGTGTTTAAACAAATAAGCATTCCTCCAAAGTGTTTAAACCACGGCAAACCTAAAAAAGTGAAAGTGAAACTCACTCAACAGAAGTGAAAGTCACATCCTCAACTCACCTAGTTCAAGGCAAGAGAAATGCAGGAAGTGAAAAAAGAAACTAGGTAGTGACCATTTAAAGAGACTTGTAAAACTCTTTTTGTAGTAATAATCTGTGCGGGTATTAGCCAAACAGGGCGAAACAAGTGTTTGTTTATAACATGGATTTTAAACTGATAACGTTGCTTTAATTGATCTGCCTCAAGTAATTTGGATACAAAGATGAAAACCACCATATTAAATGTAGTTATCTCTGTTCAGAACCTGTGGTTGGCCCCCACGTGGACAACAACACGATTTTCATAAACTTTCCTCATTGTTTTCTCAATCTGCTTCAAAAAAACCTGTGGTATTCGCCCACATAAAGTGTGTACAGTATCCAGAAACTTAGACTGAAGAGGGTAGAACAAGGATTGGAAGAGATTGTCTTCAAAGGGAAACTAAAGAGGAGAAAAAAAAACCCTGATTATTTTCCACAGCTTTAATGACATTTGAGAAGTGTAAACAGAATCAGGCTTTATAAGGCATGGCAAACTGGGTACCCTGGCTCCTGCAGACATCTCCCTCCCTCAAGTCCCTGTGACTGGAGACATTTGGAAACCATTTTTCAAATCCATTTAAAACTACTGGTTTTCAGAAAGTTTCACCCAGACATGTCTGGCTTGGCTCACTTCACAGAACTGCATTTCAGTGCCATTATTTACAAATTGGCTAATTAGGGGACATGGTGGAGATTCTAAAATAATTGCTCATAACAGGAGATCCCCTTTCATGGAGAGGTGCGAGGCACCTGTGGCAATCTTTGGGACTACAGAGCACTGTGTCTTATGCAGACAGTGCCTCTCCTCATGGGACTGCAATGGAAGAGGAGCTGTTGCGATGATTCCCTACTTCAGTCAACAGCTGGGACTTTCAACCCCAGACACACAGACCTGTAGTATTTGAGCTACGAGTAACTGCACAATCTGGTAGCAACAGTAGGCTGTTATCCTAGAGAAGGACTTGACAAAAGCGAACAGAATGTAACAATGAAAAGGGAATTCAAACATGATCTTACTCTTGCAAGCTACCAAGCACTTTCCACTGACTTTTGGAAGTGGATTGAAGCTTCCCTCACATACACACACATGCACACTCTCTCTCTATCACTGTCTTTTTTAAATGGAACAACAGCCCAATGCACTCTGTTTATTCTGTGAACGTCGTGTCTACATAAAGCACTGATATTCTCAGTCTGCTATCTTGGAAGAGGCAATCTGTCAAGTGCTCTGCATAAGGCTCCTGCACTGCTTTGTACTTTGAAATAAAAAAGAATCATCTGTGTCAAAAGCAGAATACTCACATCACGTATCACTTCATATATTGCCTTGAATGTAGGCTGCTTGTCATCATGGTAGACGCCTCTATTTCCATGCAGAATAGAGATGCCGTCTGTTTCGGCTCCTTTACAGTTACTCCCATACATACAGTGATCTGGCCTGTAGTTCCACTGACAAGGAAACACGTAGAGATACTCTGGAAATACCAAGTCGAGAGAGACAAAGAATGATACATTGAGCAAAATAAGTGCTGCAAGTAAATCATGGTTCTGTGGAAATGGCAAGGTTGTCAATCAGGAAGATTTTCAATAGCTGAGGATAATTGCCTAGATTTCCACCTGTGTTGCTCAAGAGATGACCAAGAGTGATCATCCACTGCAATGGATTCCCAGAACAAACACTGCATCATATTTATTCATGAATACTGCTGTTGGGGTCTGCACGGTCACTAGCAAACAAAGCCAAACTACACATGCTGTCATACATTCACCTTCCTTTATCTACTTCAAAAGCGACCCAGTTACTCACAGTATCATACACCTGGCTCCTCTCCCTAATACTCTGCACACTGTCATCTTCTATAACAAGACTATGGCAGAACACGACAACTTCTGTGGGTCACCTTCCTGCCATGGCAACGGGTGTGCCACTGGTTGTTACTCCATGATGGCAGACTCTCAGCACCACCACAAGGACTGGAGACTGAACAGTTCACTTGGCTTTTCCTTGAGCTTCACTAGCCCTGCCCAGTCCCTGTGTGAATTTACATGGGGTAGAAGAAAAAGCCTAAAGAAAACTCTTCCCATTTACTCACCAGGGTTTCTCATGAACAATTTCCATTTGGTCTGACACACCTCATGCTTAGCTCTGGTCTGAAGGCTCAGGGCTAGAGTCCCTGGAGGTGCACTGGTCCATCCATCCCACAGCCTAGTGAAGTCAGTGGGAGCCTTTCCAATGACTCCAGCACTCTAGATTGGGCTCTTTATCAGCACGATGCCAGTGCTCCATGCTTGCACAAACACAACTTCATGCTGAACAAAAGTGTTGGTTATCAGCTTTTACACGCGTCACCCACCAGTTTTTCTCTCCCTATCTCCCACTTCTGTGATGCTGGTACTTCATTTTTGCTTTCAGAACTAGACCCTGATCTCAGTTAATATTTATTTCTTGAAGTCTGTTAATATTAGAGCAGCCCTGAAAAGGGGTGGGAGATGCATCTTTTCAGGAATTCTCATTAAATTCCTTTTATTGCTTTACTTTCCTGGATTATTTCAGTGGAAATGGGTTGGTTTTTTTTGGGTTAAGTAAATTTGTGTATTTTCAGCTAATGCACGGATAACGCAAATGGAAGATGTACAATAGGTTTGTACAATGACCTAATCTTCCATCTCTGAGTCTGAATGAATAGATCTATAAAAATGGCATTGAAAGAAAAATGCATCATTTATTCTGAAAGGGTGAAAATACTTTATACATTAGATAGTTTCTAGACTGCAAATCCAGCACATTATTCTTGAGACAGAAATGTGTAGGTTATATCTGTTATTGGACCAGCTGCATAGCTGGGAGAAATACATACAAGCTTTTGGGTACTAGGAACAGAGAAAGAGTATGACCATGTCTCTCTAAACAATTTCCTGTAATTTTGGGCTTTTCCACCAGTTATTTTGTGTTCAAGTCTCAGCATGCAAGAGCGTATATTTTCAAGTAACTGGTAACATCAACCTTGTCAGTTTTAAATAGGATAGATTCTGTGTACATACATAGCTGAAGCTATTTAATATTATGAAGCTCAGCAGCTTTGAAAATCAGGCCTCTTTAGAAGCTGAGCATCGAGTTGGGCTTATATCTTTTCAAAAAAATTACTGGTCACTTTTGTTCCTTATGGTGTGATCCAGGCACACACGGCAAAGTTGAGAATCACTGCCTTATAGCATCCATGGGAATATTCCAGAATCCATGCTTCCATCCGTTTTCAATTTTTTCCCACTCGAAGACTATGTGGTACCCTGGAAGCTTGTCTATATCCCTCCCAACTGTACAACTGGACCAATAAAAGGTGTCTCCCATAAACATCCTTCCTGGACCATCACAGCTACAATATCACCCCAACTCTACCTCATCATTCTTTGTCATTTTGTATGCATGGACACACATCTGCAGGTAATACTGTCCCTCTGCTCTCTGTTTTGAATCCCTTTGGGCTTGTGGGGTATCACATCTGTCCTCTGATGATAAAAAGACTGCCACATTACAGTCCTGGAGAAGGCAGGGCAAAGAGAGATCACAAAATCCTGGATAGCTAGAAGTGCAAATGCATTTGTCCTGGAGTTCATCGAGGCTGAGTCACTCAGCCGAAGGGCCAGAGCTGCTTTTCTTTGAAAATCAAGGCTTGCAGTGCACAGTGGGGAGGAGGGAGGGAACTATTTTTCAAGACAAACAACAAATGTTTTTAATCCTCTTTTCAGTGCGAAGTCAGTTTACTGTCTATTGACTTCAACTCTGTTGCTTCTTTTATAAATAAAGGGATTTGGCCAAATTTTAAAAAATTGGATTTGGACAAAATTTGCCAATTTCAAATTCAGATAAACATCCATGATCATGGAAACAAAAGTGTTACTCAGCTGGGCCCTGATCCAGCAGAGCATTTAAACACATGCACGACTAACTCTGTCCCATGATTTCACCATTATTTCATATTGTGCCCAGTAATCTTTTCCAGCCTTTGACATCTACACCGGCACTAAAATTTTAGGCCTCAGTCCTGTCAGCATAACACACAAGAGTAATCCTACTGGGAGTGAATCCCATGTGCATACAGGTTAGCAAGACAGGAGACTTGGGTTCTGCATTTCAGGTCAGAATGCCTATTTGTTCATCACCATCATGTTACTGGATTTTACCTTTACAAACAAGTGCAAGTCCAACAGGAGTCCTTACATACCTGGGTTAAAGTAAAAAATAATATTTAGTAGGTCCTGGTCTCCCCATGTAATGTAATTTTTGTATTTTTGGTATAAAGGGTACAACATTTCCTCCCATGTCAAGCCAGTTGGTATCATGCTGTTCTACAAGGCAGAAGGAAATCAGAGCAAGCAGTTAATTCTTTTCCAAACAGCAGTGCAATATTGCCACGGTTCACTTGGGGCCTACATGTTCTGAGCACTCTTCTAACCTCATCTCAGGCTATAGTAGTGACTAGGGGACATCACGGTTTAGGCAGAAACTAAGCACATTTTGAAGGGCTACATTAACTAACTTCCCCTTCACAGCAAGAGGGACTGTGACTTTCGGGATTAAGTCTGAAGGGTCTATGGAGGTGTGCATAAAGATTTCAAGGACTGCTCCCGAGGCTACTTTGTATTTACTTATATTTCCTAAACACCTTCTCAGAAGAGGTGCCATGTGAAGAAGTGGCTATCTGTTTAAGTAAAGATTCCACAGACTAGCCCTGAGACACGGAAAGACAGCAACGTAAAAACCATTGGCATGATTCACTTACTACAATGACTTCCACAGTGTGCTCAAAATATGCTGTGACCTTGTATGTCTATCAGGGAAAGTCTTTTGTAAAACACATTCCACGCAGCACTGATTATCTTTGGCTTCCTCTTTTATGTCTCTCTCAGATGGGACAGTTCAATTAAGTCACCTCTACTTTTGGTTTTAAGCCATTTCACCTGCCAGAGTTGAGTGCTCTAGCCTTTTGGGGATCACTCACTTATGTAAGAAATTGCCCCCATCAGAATTTTTTTTAAATATTGGGAAACACTTTGATTAGTTTTTCTAAAACCCTGGGTTTTGATAAATTTGTTCAGACTCCTCCTTATATCCTCTGGCGCAAATTGTTTTCTAGTAAATCACAGGCTGTTAAAAAATAAGTACAAGCATTTCCTGTAGCATTTGACCGTTTCTCACCTTGAACTGCGTGTTTCTTATCCGAGTTAAATTCATCAACATGACTCCAGAATTGACACCAGTTGTTCCGTAGTAAGGGTGACGAGCAAATCGACTGTACCAGCCTATCTTTGGTATTTCATGTTCTGGGGCCATGGCAGCCAGCTGTGTGGAGTTGAACTCTTTGAGATAGCGCCAGATGTCATCGATAGGCCTCAAGAAGAGAACATCAGTGTCCACATAAAGAAGAGAATCCACATCCTTTAAAATGACCTGTGGAGTTCGCAGGGTAAGAAGACGTGGAAGGAAACCAGCCAGACAACAAAAGGAAATCGATTACTGCACAAGAAGTACTTTGGTTTGAAATGTAACCTTCATGCAACAGACAAAAGTTATTTACTGATACGAGACAAATACTGTAACATATGGGACTCATCAGCAGCAGGTGGATCATTTTTTTTAAACAACTGGCATGGTAAAACAGGTAGAGTATAGCACAAAAGAAAATCCAAGAGTCCATTCTTCACATAAAACAATAATCCACTTAGCTGTCATAACAACCTGAGATCTAGTCCACAAGGCCTATTTAATATTGATTTTAGTAATAAAACCCACACCATCTGTACTAGTTCTTTTAAAGACCAATAACTTGTGAGATTACAGTAAAACTGCCCATTTGTAGGAGATGGGGATGTAATTCTGGCTTATGATATGACTGCAAAGTTACTAACAAAGAAAAAGAAAATTTTACAAATATATCAGCAGAATGTTCCAGGATTTTAGCATAAAGCTCTTTCGTGGTCTAGCCATGCAGTTGAATGCAGGTCCTGATCCTGTAATCAAGACTGGCAAGTATATGCGCCAGTGAAATGTCTCCAGTTCTAACGTAGAAAAGAACATTTAAGATGGTATATAAGAGCTTCTCACCTCCATTTGATCTTATATTTCCCTAATCTCCGCTGTTGGCTAGTTGTCCTGCTACAGTCTCCCACTCACCACATTTAAATTGCACCCAGTAGGTGACGTTAAAATAAACCATTGGCATGTGATTTTTCTAATTTAAAACAGTAGTTAAAGAGTTGGCCACCAGGAATGAAACTTCAGTTCTTTTTCCTTTCTGGGAATTTGAAAACTTCCCACCAAACAAACAAATCTCACAAGGATTGTGCAGCACTGATTCTGAGCTCTGCTACAGTACTAAATCAGGAGAACCACCCCAAAATCAGCCACCTTATTCTGGTGTAAAAGGAGGAGATTTAGGTCCCACAGGCCTGGTGTATTCTTGTTTGCATTATGCCCCCTTGTGGAAACGTGGGAACTTACACATTTACTCCTAATTTTAGCAGGGGTGTGAACAGCACTACAAGGGTGTGAAAATTCCTGACTTTGGCACCGAAGGGATATTTAGTTATTAGGCAAGCTTGAAAATCACTTTTATTATAGTTCTCCCACACTTCCCTGATTACCACTGGCTACAATTGCCCAACACATTCTCAAAGGGGCTGACATTTTCTAGCTTTGCTCTTAGCCACAGGCCGGGAAAAGAAACAATAGTCAGCTGTCCAGTTCCAAAGACAAAGTTGTCAAACTTTCCTCCTTATTTAGATAACTTCAAAATCAACACAACTGTTAAATGGGCCACATGAACAAGAACCAAATCCCTGAGTGCGGATTTGAATGGGATTTTCACCTGACTAAATGCTTACAGATTTCGACCAGCCATAGTAAAGCTTAATGCTGCACTTCTGACATCTCAACTGCACATTCTCCCTGCCCAGCGTGACTAACCCAGAGGTTGTCTGTGTATCTTAAATAGAGAGGAAGGTCTGTAGTAACAGGCGTTATGCCAACGATCGTTACAGAACCACTGGGCTACACACTACCATTAGCTCTACTGAAGTGCAGATTCTCTCTCACACATATTTTACTGGCCCAGAATATTTTTTCTTATTGATGTGGTACCTGTTGTTATGAAAGAACAAGCCCTGCAACAACAAGGTATCAACCAATGATATTATATTTTTCTTGCAATACTGGATTGCAAAATTAGAGGCCGGAGGCTCAGAGTCAGAACTGCCTGATGATAACAAGAACAGGGTCCTTCACCTCCGTTGCTAGCTTTGGGAGACACCACTACAAGACCTGCTAAAACACCTTTTCTGTCAGCTACCTTAGATGTTCTGGATATCACAGGTGCTGCTGCTGTTATCTGTTACTCAGTGTTGTTAGCTGTGGTACCCAGGAGCCCTATGCATAGGCTAAGACCCCACAGTGCTAGAAGAGAGAGAGAGGGTCCGTGCCCCAAAGACAAGAGATTATCTAAGACTAAGAGATATCTCTGAATAAAGACAAAGAAAGGAGAGCACAGACACAATGAGACAGTCATAGTCAACATGGCAGGCAGAGGCCTCAGCACATCAACAGTTGAATTGCTGTCGAGTTTTTCCTGTGAGCAGAGTTATAAGCAAGGTTTGGAAAGAACAAGAGAGGTGAAGGTTTAAAGGAATCCGTTCCTTTCACCCCTGATGGGTAACGTGGGACACTGCTCTACACCTGACATGTTCCAGGCAAGGAGCTACCCTTGCAGCAAACTTAACTTTAAGGACCTGCTCATATCCACTGAAATCAATGGGACTTACACGTTTCCTTCAGTGGGCTTAAACCTACCCCTAAGCTGCAATAACCTGCCTCAGAGCTATGCTGAATCAGGGCATCCAATGGCCACTGGCACCACTCTTTGGCCTTTGCATTCCCCTGCTCCAGCGCACCATGCTCCTCAGCTCATTTTGTCAGATGTTTCACTCCCATCTCATCAGATGCATGCAGCCCTGCAGCAGACACAGAGCAGGCTGGCAGTAAAACAATGTTATTTTAAGCCCTTCACATTTTCCTCTTTGACATGCAAAGTGTTAAAAGTTTTGCTCCATACTATCCTGGGCAGTATGAAGGGATCGTATCCATTCCTGAATGTGCACTTCACATGGGCTTGGGCAAAGCTCTTTACCATTTTAAAAGCATCTGCCCGGGAGGGTTCCTCCTGTAACTGTACATGTACAAAGGATTAATGCCAGGGATAGAATTTGGTCTTCGCCTCTCTAGTGCTCCCAATGCTCCCACAGTTTTGTGTAGTTCCACCAAGTCAAATACAGTCTTTACATTAAACTAGTCTAATGCGAGTAGGATTTAAAAGCACTTAAAGAGAGGCAAGCACCCAACTCACACTGGCAGGCAAAGGGTAGTGGGGCCCCCACTTTCAGATGATTCTCTTAAAAAATCCTAACTTAAAGGGCTCCTTTTAGTAATGGAGGTTCCCATACAATCTGGATATTCTTCCCATTTATGTGCTTTCTGAACATGAAAAAGTAGGAACAGAGCTTCTCTTGTCCCTTCCTCTCCTTGAGAGACGCTTACCATTTAGAAGAGGATAATCTTGATGTTTTGCACAGCTGTATGGAGTTGTGCTAATAAATCTTCTGGGAGTTCCAGATAGAACTTGCTATATTTAGCCTGACACTTCAGTTAAATACTCAATTATCTGTAATTTGATTCCGCAACTTCTTGTCTCTGTGGATTCTCCCTGTGTTAGCTAGGTTGGCAAGGAATAAGGCATTACTAATAACACGCTGGTAAGTCAGCATATCCCAGTGTAATAAAAGGCAGTGGGCCAAACTCACAAGTGAGTGAGTAAATAAATGTATGCCATGCCCAGAACTGGAGAACAAACTACAACCAGGATCACACACCTGTCACATTAGCATCTCCAGTCATGTTAATTTACTTGACTTAATTCACAATTCACAAGCCATTCACTCAAGTTATAACAGAGGGGAAAAAAAACAAAAGCATCCACACATCCAAGACATGCAGTTTTTCCACCCTGATGACTTGATATCACTGTCCTCCACTTCACTAGTGTGATCACAGGTTCATTAATGCCTCTTTTCTCTCACAGGATAGTATTTTTATTTCCTGTAGTACCTAGGAGCCCCAGGCAAGACAGAACAGGGGAGAATAAGTTGCACATCTCCAGAACATGGACAATGTCCTGGAGATTGCTCCCCAGGAAGTGACAAATGCCGCCCAAAAGACCTGGTAGGTAGCTAGACGGTACTGGCTAAAAACATTACTATTCCTAAAACATGGGGCTCCTCACAGCAGTCTGCAGCAGTGTCACTCTGCTGCCAACACAGCCTGAATACGCATAAGTAGTGACTCTTAGTACCTCAGTATAATTTTGTTTTTGAAGCCCATTCTTTGAATTAATTTTAAGATATACTATCTCCTTTGCCCTGCCTCTGCAGCTCACCTGGTTTGCTTTTACAGAGATGGACTGCAGCAAAAGCATCACTAGAGACTTGATCTGAGATTAACTTGAGGTTCAATCCATCTTCCCTGTGGCAGGTTGATAATCATATGTAACATCCCTCCAGTAAAAAAGGAAACTTATGAGCTATAGGTATGCTCTCCTTAATGTTTTAATAATATTTTAGTCTCTAGTAGCATCTACAAATCAGGAATGCCAGAATTAGTATGTCACTCAAAATGAAACATTTCATTACCGGCGCTTGTTTGAACACATCACAGAGCCAAAGTCTTATTAGTAATAAACTCTGCATTACGATATTCTTGTACGAGCCCCCCGCCTGCAGCACACTTCCACATTTCCTTTCAGTTTCCAATGGCTTGTGGGTGTTCTAGAAGGAAAAAGGTGATTTAATTGGAGAAAAAAAACAAAAAAAGAGCTTGCAGCCTATAGCTCAAATTCTGACTTGTGAACAGCATATGCAGAATAGCAGAACCAAGACAATCTGTTCAGCAAAGGAGCTAAGCAGACTAGGAGCTAAACTGCCTCTCCCTTGGAATGCTCCAAAAAGCCCCCTGCCATTAACATCCAAGATTTACAACCAGTGATCTCACAGGCTAGATCCTCAGCATGGCAGCACAGGAGAGGAGAGACCAAAACCTGAGCCACCACCTTCCAGTGCATAATTAAACATACTGGCAGCTACACTCACTGCTGTAACATGCTTCTTGAGTGATGCAGCTGTCTGTACACTGCCCACAGCATCCCAGTCCACTTCAGAGGAGGTCCTGTGAAGGGTAAGCAGCACGAGAGGACAAAGGCAATGTCCATATTTGTCAGGAAAAGCCAAAATCATCCGTTTTAGAACTGACGGATAAAGTGACTGTCCAAGGCATCCAGAGCAACTCAATTCCAGAACGCAAGCCTCAGGCTGCAAGCCTGGATAACAGAAAAGCAAGCATACCCTTTGCTGCTGCCTCAGCTATTTTTACCAGTTATTTTTCTTGCCCCACAACACTCCCTAATCTCATCCAAGCTTGGGCACTAGGAGAGCCAAAATAAAGCAGAGCCTTGATCTAAGAAAACAAAGGCACGAAGCTGACTGCCACCAGCCTGACAACCCAAAGCATCTTGCTGTCCCCTCACAAACATGATACACATGAAAAATGACAGAACAAAAATTTGGGGCAATCTACATGAAACATCCCTGAAGGCCAACAAGCAATTGTCAAATACCATCTCTGCATCCTCTGCAGAGGAAACTCCATCTACCATTAGATGTAGAGATCTCACCACTGCCTCATGCCAGAAGGGACTAAAAGCTCCTAAATCAGGGGTGGGCAATTATCTGGGCCCGCAGGCCACACAGGCAGTTTAGCGGAGCTGTCACAGGCTGGTCAGTACCCCCTCCCCAGCAGGTCGTCTCCACCACCACAAAAGTGCACAGCCCCAGCCCACTCTGGACTCGCCCCAGCTGGAACCCACACACAGCCCCGACCCCAGCCTGCCCCGCGCATGCTCCAGACCACCTGTCCATGCTGGGCCCTTTTTGCTGCAGCCACCTGGAGCTCGTGCCTAGGCTGCCCTGCGGCTCCTCTCCACCACCATCACTGCTGCCCTTGGGCCACCCAGAGGGGTGACGATGGCAGGGCAGAGGAGCCTCAGGGCAGCCCAGGCGCAGGCTCTGGGCACCTGCAGCAAGAAAGGAGCACCCAGAAGCGGTGAACGGTAGGGGCTGCTTTTTACCCTGCACAGAGCAGCAACTTCTGCCCGGCTCATGAGCGGGCAAGTCTGGAGCAGGAGCAGGGTGGGCCAGGGTCAGGGCTGTGCACACAAGTTCCGGCTGGTCTGGAGCTGATCCAGTCCGGCCAGCATGAGTCCAGAGTGGGCGCGGGGTGGGCCAGGGTTGGGGCTGTGCATGCAGGTCCCCTCTAGAACAATGAGGCTAGGGCCAAGGTGGCAGCAGCTCAGCTGTGGAGCTGCCCCAACCCAGCTGCATGCCTAGGGGGTGACAGGATGCGCCATGGGCCGGATGGCACCTGGCCCAGACAGAACTGAGGGACCTGCTGCAGGCCAGACAAAGTCCCCCTGCAGGCTGGATCTGGCCCATGGGCAGGCTGTATTTTGACCACCCCTGTCCTAACTGATAGGTACAAGGCAAAAACTGGTCCACGGATGGCAGACTTCTTAAAACGGAATGACCCCCCAAATTACATCTCTGTTAAGAGAGCCAACATTGAGGAGTTTGTTTTCCTGGCATATGCAGAGATTCAGCTGGGCTACTTCTGCACAAGTCAAGGCTTTAGTTACAAAGGTTTGGTTTGTACTCAGTAGACCAGTCATGAAAGAAGCATTAAAGCTTCTGATCCCAGGGGCCTGCATGCTCCCAACTACCCCCTGCCACCTCTGCATGAACCCAGACAAACTCTGTTGTCTATTGCCGACTCTCCGTAGGAAACAGGCATCTGCTTTGGGGCATGCGAAAATCCTGACCCCCATCAAATGTTATTATAGCATTGTTGACCACATAAGTCATTTTCTTACATAAGCACAAAGCAAAAGGTTGAGAGGACCAGAAGGCACGAAAGGTTGAGGACCAGAAGGCACACTGAAGTCAGAGAACACAGCATGCAGGCTTTTAAATGCCAGGATCCTTAGTGTCACATGTCGAATCCCACTTCTCAGATCCCTGAAACTGCAAACCTGATATAAAATGCATCACAGATTTGTAAGGAGGGTGCCAGGGGAAAAGATCACTGAAAGTATCTATTCTAAGGGGGAATGAATGGAATGGGGTGAAGCGAGCAATGAGAATACGATGCTTGCATTGTCCAAAGAAGTGCTGTTTGAAAGGCAGGAAGCACCTGCCCAAGAAACAACACTAACCCTGACTCCAAAGAGGCTGAGCCAATGGAATTGGCATCAAGCAAGAAACATGCATTTTGTGCCAGGGGGAGGAATGATCAGAGTGTTTTCTTAAGCAGAAAAAGTACAGATAACGATGCCTTGGAACTGAGGTTTCAGCTTGAAAAATGGTTTCAATTTCATATTGGCAAAGCTCCTCACATTGGAACAGATGCGGCTTACTCAGAACCTGTTTACTCAAAAAGTCAGGTGCCTTACCGGGAGAAAGAGGCGCTGGGCAGCACATGGTTTGAATAATTTTTTCCATTCCTGAGCATTTCCTACTGAGAAAGTGATTGGATAGATGTTGTATTCAAACTTCCTGGTGTATGAGGAAGGCCATTCTTGGAACTGAAAGACATGGGGAAAGGATTAGAATTCGAAGAGACAGGGCAGGTTTCTGCAGTACTGATGAAAAGTTAAATACCAGTTTTTTCCAAAAGTTTCTAGAGACAGACCCTGCATGCAATAAAAGGGAAACAAAGAGCTTAGCTGCTAATTGGTTGTCACGAGGGTATTTTTTTTTTTTTTCAGAGATTTGACAGGTCACAAAAAAACTGCAAACCTTTTTAAATAACAAAGAAAGGGAGCTTACCTTCTTCTCAAATTCTGGCTTAAGGGAATCCTCAGCAAAGATGTGAAACCGGAGCTTCCTGTTGCTAAAGAGAACTGCTGATTTCAGCATGGTAACGGTCTCTTCCAGTCGGTCGCCACATGCCACAACTGCCAGATGCATCCATTGCAGAGATGGAAGATTTTTCAAGTGTTTCTGTTCCCCAGGTCTCCTGAAAAATAACATGTATGTGCGTCACACACAAATGCTCATTTGATGTAAAGGTGGGAGATTCGATCATTTTGAGAAACAACATTAGAAGAGCTTAACAGGAAAGGAAAAGGGAAAGGGAAAGGGAAAGGGAAGGTTTGTTGGAGCAGATGCTAGCAGAGCTCATTAATAAAATACAGAACCTTTGTCCCCGGTTCAAATCAACAGTGTCATTATAATTAAAATGCAAAGAAATCTGTTGTTTTTTGTAATTTTATAACGGTTTTGTCAATTCTTCCTGTTTGCATAAATGTGTACTTCCATACACACAGCACAACTGGATTTGATATCACTGGCAAGTCAGTGTTTGGCTTGCAAAGAGTCACGGATGTTTTTTCTCTTGATCCAGAGAGGCCAGAAGGGGCTGTTGCTGCCATTTGGTCTGACCTTCTGTATAACGCAGGCCATGGAACCACACCCAGGAATTTCAGCAGCTACATCCATAACATCCAGTTGTGCTACAGAAAGATATCCAGTCTGGGGTGAAAGATTTCAAGCAACTAAGAATCCACTGCTTTCACAGATCAGTTCCCCTCAGTGTTAAAAAAAATGCATGCCTCCAACTGTCTGAGGATCCCGCTGCACTGTATTCTTCGTTTCATTATTTTTTTCAAAAGGACTATTTGCACACTCTAGAAATATTGTGGATAATGTAAGCAGAGAAAAGGGGAGGGGTAGATCTGTCATAGAAACCCACCTGTTTATTTAAAAGTCTGTATACAATAATGTAAATATAAAATATACTATTGCAAAATTAAAAATTTAAAATGATTTATAAAGGGAAAGTAGGTGTAAGAAGACTAATTCAGATCTCATTCACACCAACCATAGTGGGCTTTTCCCTGAACTCCCTGTATCTCATACCCTCACTTCAACAGGGAAAGAACTGGGCCCACGGTGTCATTTTTAAATGAGACTAATGATTTCAGGGGCCTCTTGTTTTATTTTAAAAGGAACTTTATTTTTATAAATGGCTTGCTCTTCACTTTGTGGTAATCAGGCATCATTAACATGTCTCAGGCTGATAATTGGGGATGGGGGGGAAGATCCACGTGAAAAAAATGCAAAAAACAAAGGCAGTTTATTAAAAGTAAAAGCAAAAGACTAACCCTCCCTCCCCTCCTTTTAGGAGTATTTTTATCGGGATAAATTTTATTTGCATTGCAACCTGAACTGCATCAATGTGCTGGTAGATGGATGCATAGAGGCACACCAAGTAAATCACAAACATCACAATTATCACCGGGATGTTCAAAAGGATAATCATAGATCACAGCGGTACTTGATAGATCACTGAACTGAGGGCATCAATCTGTGCCTGTTCACAGCTCACGACGCACAAACTGACATGCACACAATTAATCAGTGAAGCTAAAACTATAAACAAAACTAAAGGCCTAAAGAAACAACAAAGAGAAAAAAATGACAATTAATAAAGTCAAGGTCATCTTTTATGGAAACTAAAATAATGTCTATAATGACCTCAGCATTCAAACCATTCTTCACACTTTACTGGCTATACAAAGCAACATGTTTCATTAATGGCTTAAAAGTCTTAGGCTTTAGTCTTAATTAAACCCCAATTTCAGCAGTGTATAAATAATGAACTGCTACATTTATGTGAAGTGGTATTTACTTTCCAGCCTATTAGTGTAAAAACCATTGAATTATTAAAGTGAATAATTGGCTGCTCACACAGATCCCATATCTCTCCACCCCCTCCTCCTACCTATCTCTTTAATGTTTCCTCTTAATTGAGTCTTTAAATCAAGCCATATGCAGAACGGGAATGTGAATTGCTTTGATATAGCTTACGGCCACAAACTTCAATGGGAGCAGGACCAAGCTCTGACCTTTTATTATGACATTTCAAGTCCCCATGCCAAAGCTCAAACCATTGCTTTGCAAATTTTACCCAGTGCAAATTCTCTGCCAAAAATGCAGTGACCTCAAAGTGAAACTTCCAAGACATGCAAAAAGGGTCTTCCAGCCCAGACAAGCTTTTGCACAGCCTCATTTGGTCTACGTCGCACAGTGCCTGCCTCCAGCCTCGCAGAATCTTACTTTCGAGTCCAGACAAAGGACGCACGTACCACAAGCCCCTTTTCTAGACAGAGAATCACACTGTGCGGCTCCACCATCAGGTTACAAAGAGGCAGACTGGACCAGCTCCAACAAATCAAACAACTCCAACCGCATAGTGTCTGGTGGGCAAATATTTAGCTTGTGTAAATCAATGTAGCTCCATTAAACCCAACAGAACTACATCCATTTACCCTACCCAAGGATCTTGCCATAATCTGAGACCTTCAACACTAAAAAAAACCAAAAACAACCCACAGGTCCCTGTCATTTGAACTAAAGGAGTAAGGTCATTAGTGGGTAGTATTAGTAGTGGGATCCTACCCTCTATAGGGAAAAGAAAGCCACTAGAGACTCACCCAACACAAAAAAAGGATAGAAGACCCCCGACTAGCTCACTGTTATGCTGGAACAACGAGAGTCTACTTTGAACTTGGACTAGGGTCTTGTACGGGGACTGAATTTATTGAATCCAGCTACTCTGTATGGCCTCCTCTAATCAGTCGCTTGTTTAGTGTCTGAGTATTATTAGTTGATGCAAAGGCATTTGGAAACAGAATCTTCTGACATTCACTTGGGTCAAAAACTGCTAATCAACCAACAAGAAGAATGAAGCAGATTAAATGCCTGAAAGGAAAAAAAAGTTTTAAGAAAAATGCATGCATATTTGTTAAATACCATGGTAACACTTCAAAGCAGCTGTACAGTGTAATGCAGTTAATGAAATATAAAGCAGCTGATAAAGCAAGAGAACAGATTCTGATCTCATTGGATTGGTAGGTTAACACTAAGTGCTTTTAGTTGTGGCAAGGCCTGGCTTACGGGTGGTCCCTGATGGACCAGGAACCCAGATTCCATTTCTGAACCTGAGTTCCTCAGAGGAGATGGGCAGGTCCCAAGTCTTCATGTTTTAGTTTCCTCATCTGTGACTTGGGGAGGCCAGTAATAGCTCCCTGCCTCACAAGGGTCTCCTGGGTATTAATTAATGTTTATAAAACACTTGGATGCTGCAAAGCGCTAGATTATTACTATTAGCAAACACAGTGTTTGTATACTTGTGCTCATTCATTTTTATTCCAATTTATTGATCACTGAAGGAGCCCACTTTTTGGCATGAGAATTTTATCTTTTTTTCCTATTTAAATGAATGTTTTATGGTATTTTCAAACACTACAGTCAAATGGATGTGTAGAAAAGGGCGTTTGATGAATTTTACGGCAGCAAGCTAAAGCGATTACATACATAGTGGGCACGTCTACATGAGATGCTACTGCACAATAGGGTTGGCGGGCACTAAGCATGGTGTGCCGCTCCTGCACAGTAGTAACTAGTAGTAGTAGGGCTATTGCGCAGTAGCATCTGAAAAAAAAAACCTGCAGTGATGGTACTGCACAGTAACACACCAGTTACTGCACAGTCCACTGCTCGTGTAGACGCAGCCAGTGTTACCTTGATCACCTTGACCAAGCCAATAAATAACCTAGTTTGTGGATGTCATTGTACATGGGAGATCGCTTAGGAGGGAAAGAGGAGGAAACAACAGCTTGCTCAACAGAGGCATAAAGATTTGATCCAGAACAGATACTTCCAAACGGTACCTACACTGCATTAGGCCGATCTTAGTATACAACGAAGAAGGTAAATTACATACTAGTCCACGAGTAGAGAGAGGTAGTTAGCTGTGCTAGTCTGAAATCAAGCAGAAGGCAGGGCAGGGTGACACCTTCAGACTTACTCATCCAGGCAGTAGCTGCTGCATATGAAAGTTCATGCCTCTCTGAATGAGTTAGTCTTCAAGGAGCCACCCCACCCTTCCTTCTTCATACCAGTCCAAGTAAATGTAGCTTTGATCTTAAGCACCAGGATTTATTGTTAAGTATGTACTGTCTCAACAATCTCTGACAAGCATACCCCTAAATATTCTGCATCAATATTTAATCCAGTTGGGTTAGCACCCAACAAGATATTGTGATCTTAGCAAGGGATTGATCCTCCAAGGAGGCAATATCATCACCCTTTGCCCTGGTGCCTAAGGGCATTTATAGATGTGATCCAGGGAGCAGCAGAGGGGAAGTGGAGGTGCCACGCTAATTGCAGGTACCTGGAGTGTCATGTGTATCAGCATCCCCATGCTGCAAAATGGTGGCAGGGCGCTTTGAACTGAAGCTCGTTGAATGAGTTTTAATTTACAGTGCCCCGCCGCTGTTTTTCAGCACGGGGACGCTGATACACATGACGCTGGAGTCTACTGGAGCACGGTAATTACCATGCTCCAGCAGACTCGATTAATCAAGCCTGCTCCAAAGCGCTGTAAAGGCAGCCCCCCTGCACATACATAGGACCTCAAAGTGGTTGCCTTGAATACTGTTTATATATATGGGTTTATTTTGATGGGAACAAAGATGTTGGCATTGTGACAAGAGGCTGAGTTCCTAAGCACAACAGTACATGTTTCGACTCCACGGAGTTTAGATCAAATCTAATTTTCTCGTGAGTCACAGCCTGAAAGTCTTCAACACAATCAATCCAAAACCTATAAAGAATCAAACTAGATCCAGAAAAACAACGCACTCCCTACTCCTTACACAGCCTGCTGATTTCTTCAAGTCTTCAAATTTGCTCTTTAGAGACCGATAAAAATCTAAGCAACATTCCCACATGATGCTTTTATTTAAAAAACAAAAACTAAAAAGTGCTAATGTCTCTCAATATAAACAGGCTCAGGCAATACATTGACTTATGAGGAAACCTGTCCAGAAACTGGTGGTTTATTAAATAAGACATTTATTAAGTGTATTCCTGTTAGTCAGCCATGCACCAGTGCCCCATATGCAGCTGCAATTACAGTAACAGACCAAACCATTCTCATCTCAGCAGAGCTAATTTGTCTGGGCATAGCACTGCACGGATGTGGCTGTAATGCTTCTGGTTCTGGAGGTAGACATGGGTTCCCTTCAGAGTGGGAAACAGCATAACCTCCTGTAGGTGATCCTGCCTTTCAGCAGAGGTAATCTGCCTGCCTGCAGTGCTACACTAACAGCAGCTATATCTACGGGAACCAGAAGCGGGGTAGATTGCTCCTGATCCCAGAGATCTGTGCAACATCTGGAACTGGGGCCTGGATTTTGCCCTCTAAAAGTGGACTACTTCAGGCCAGGACCGCCAGGACCTAAGACTTCTCCTTGTCAGTAGTCCCACTAAAGTCATGAAGTCTGCTCTTGTCCCACTGAAATCATGAAGACTGCTACCTACAAGATTAAGGATTAGCAGACCGAGCCTTCAACCATCTGTTACAACATAGTGCAACTTTAAAAGCAAATTCGAACCTTACAAACAATCCTCAACTTTAAAAGAAGCCAGCAAAAATCATTCAGAGACCATAAATAACCCATATTAGAAACCTGAACAGTGTTGGTGCTGCTCCTTAGCCCTTCAGTAGCTGATAAAATCAATGAAGATCTGACTAAAACTAAGACTACTTACAAAACTTGATAGCTAGTGTGGTTTAACACTCTGGGGTAGAATAAGTGGCACCAAGTGATATGCTAAAATTACAACCTGCCCAGGCTACACAAAAGATGAAGGCATGTTTACTATTCTCTTTTAAAAACACATTTTTTTCCCCTATCAGAGACAGGGACTGCGATTCCGTTCATACAGGCCAAGAGCTGTATTTCGCTTACATAATTAAGCTAACTCTAAGGCAATTCAAATATCCACCCTCTTTAGCCCCATGGAGACACGGTTTAAGTCCCTTAGGATCATTTGAGCAGGTCATGTTGTAGTTTATGTCATCCTTAACTAGCTTAAAGGAATTAAGAACATGGTTTCCATCAAGATTTTTTTCAATTGTCAATTGAGCTT